CTGGCATGTGGTGCTGGAGGATTGAACCGCGGTCCCTGTGCTTTGCCAAGCTTGTTTCAAGTAGGTGCTTTAGACCACTGAGCCATCTCTCCAGCCCCTAATCAGAGAATTTAGAACTGAAGAAAATAGCAGCTACCTAAGAGATATTCATTTGTTACGAGAAAAAAAAAAAAAAAGACCAATATATGTGGATTGACCTGAAACAAAAGTTTATAGTAATGGGGACTTCTAAAATTATGTGAAAGACTGAAATCATAAAATATATTTTCTGAATAGTATGAAAACCAATCTAAGGCTAGGGGTATAGCTTTGTAGTGAAGATGTCTAGCATGTACCGAGGCCTGCATCCAATCCCCAGCACCAAAAAAGAGTAAGAGTAATAATCCAAAATAAAGACACAACAGAACTAGGGGTGGGATGTAGCTCAGCTGTACAGCACCTGCCTCGCTAGGGTGAGGCCCTAAGTGCGATTCCCAGTAAAAAGAAAAAAAAAAAAAAAGATAAAGATACAGAACTTGGGTCCGAGAGATAGCTAAGCCAACTAAGCGCCTACTTGGGCAAGCTCAGGGACCATGCTGTATAGCAGCTCCGCCCCAGGGTGTGCTGAGCAGGTGACAGACTTGGGCCATGGTGGCACATGCCTGTAATACCAGCACTGGGAAGGCTGAAAACAGGAGGATCACTGGGTCTGAGCTGCACAGTGAGACCCTGTACCAAATACAGTAAGTGGAAAAAAAAAAAAAAAAGATACAGAACTTACTGCTTGTGCTTGCTTAATAAATTCAAGGATATCTTCTTTTAAAGCCTGATGAATTTTTGCTGGGCCTTTATCATCCCAGAGACAGACTGCATGAACATCCCTGTAAAAATTAAGTAAACAAACATTAATAATAGAACAAAAATAGAGACAAAATTTATCTTAAGTTCTGTAGTAGTAGTATCCATGGCCAGGCAGAAGATCTACATATCTTTTATAAACCGTCTCACATATGTGTTTCAAATTTTTTTTTTTTAATTTCTAAGAATCATCCATCCGTAGAATAAGTGCTTCCTGGCAAGCACAAGGGCCTGAGTTCAATCCCCTGTGCTGCAAAAAAAAAAAAAAAAAAAAAAAAAATCATCGTCCTTCCATCCACTTATTTATTTAGTACAAGGTCTCACTATGCAGCTTGGACTTACAATAATTCTCCGGTCTCAGCTTCCCCAGCGCTGAGATTACAAGTGGATGCCACCACACCTGGTTTCAGATGGGCACAGCAGCGCCTGGGGCTGGCATGGCATGAAGTACTGGGGATCAAACCTGGATCCTTGGGCTTGCAAGCAAGTAAGTATCTCCCAGCTCTCAATTTTTATTTTCTTTTGGAGTGGTTTTTCTTAATCTCTGCAACTTATTGCATAAAAAACTTCATTATAATAGAATATTGTCATCTTATCCCACTGCTCTAAATAAACTGCTCTTAACATTTTCTTGTGCGAAAGCAAATATAAATCATTTTAACTCTTTCACATATAGATGTAAATGGTTTTCTATTAAAAGAAACTTATAAATCCTATTATGGGAAATCCCTAATGTAGTCCTATTCCTCTATGTACTTAAACAAAAGTTTGCATAAACTGACACATAAAAACTGAATTGCCAGGTGTAGTGGCACACATCTGTAAAAATCCGCAGTACTTGGGAGGCTGAGGCAGGAGAATTACCATGAAGGCTAGCCTGGGCTACATAGTGAGATCCCAACTCAAAAAACAAACACCCATCCACATAAAACAGAGCTGAAAGTTTACCAAAAAATGAACTACTTGGCTATTAACATATAATTCTGGAGATGGTGCACTCACATTTCTTTGTTTTTGTTTTTGTTTTTGTTTTTTTTTATGGCAGAAAATGTCACATATGGAACCAGTCCCTGAAGAATACATTTTTTCCCAAGACAGGGGAGCTCACTATGTAATCCCAGGCTGGCCTTGAACTCACAGCAATCCTCCTGCCTTAGCCTCTTGAATGCTGGGATTACAGACATGTGTCTCGACATCTGGCTTAAGGAACATTTTTTGAATGAATGAATTCACAATGTAACACATTATCCTTATCCTTTTTTTTTTTTTTTTTTGGTGGGTCCAGGGATTGCACTCAGGCCCTTGCACTTGCCAGGGAAGCGCTTATTCCACTGAACCATCTTCCCGGCCCCCACCTTTTCCTTTTAAATTTCCCTAAGGTATAATTTGATAACTAAGAAAATTAACTTTTTATACATGTACTAATATTAAATATATTTTATAATGTATTTATCATCTAAATGCATCTCTTAATTTTGAAATGTTCATACATATCACCAATGCCAGAGGCAAAGTCACCATCATCTCTTACTTGATTTGCCATAAAGAACTTCAATCAGTATGCAATGATTGCTTCTTACTATGTGACAAGCAAGTCACATGTTATGGTTTGTGTCTAGTTGTCCCCCCAAAACCTCATGCAGTCATGGGGTGAGGACTTCTAGAGTTTGCGTTAACTCATGATCCATTGGGATTATGTGTGATCCAAGGCTGGGATTATGGGTCTTAGTACTGTTGGGATTATCCATAGGTGGGTAAATACTGGGAAGTACCCATAGGTGTACTTCCCCTACCCTGGGGCAGGTAATCTGCATTACAATGTAAAGTGGGAAGAGAAGCTAGCTGCTTGAGCTGCTGCTCCCCTCCCTTGCTCTCTTGCTCTTTGCTGCCACCATGAAAGGTTGCCCTCTGCTATGTGCGGCTCTGCATTGGACCCAGCTGAGTATGGACTGAAACCTCCAGTAACTGTGAGCTAAATAAACCTTTCCTTCCTTCATTTTGAGTGTCGGGTATTTGTCCCAGCAACGAGAGAAGAGTAACTAAGACATCACATTACCTGTGTGATAGTTGAGGCTTCCAAAAAGCATATGGAATGAGAAATGTAAAAGAATTATTGAGGGAAGGCTGGGGAGATAGCTCAGTGGCATAAGCAGCTGTCTGGCAAGTGAAAGGTCCAAAAAGATTTACTGAGGAAATGACTGTGACAAAAAATGGAAAATGTGCTACAGAAACCTGGGTGAGTTATAAGCTCACAGAGAGGAAGTCTGATCCATACAGAAAAAAGCAGGCTGGATATCAAGTCATATACTGAAGTACAATTCTAGGAAACTCTGAACTTTGATAAAGCTGTTGAATTCTGGAGCCCAGGTCCCCATCTTAGGAATCATGTGCCTCTCTAACATACAGCTACCTTAGTTCCCCTGCTCTCAAATCACTACTAGGTACAAGGCAAAAGTTACTTGAGTTCAAATGTTTCCTGAGTCTCCTGAGGCAATGATTTGCTGACAAGAATGAGATTGGACAGCTCCCCCAAAACCATACCTAAGATTTAAACTATGTGCATGATATATGTTATGGGGGGGCTTGAACTAAACCCAGGGTCTCAATCATTCTAAGTGCTCTATCACTGACCAACGTTTCCAGCCCTTTTTCTTTTTGAGTCTCTCCCTATCTCCTAGGCTCATTCTCCTGCCTCTTAGGCTCCTGAGTAGCTGAGATCATAGGCACACACCAGCATGCCTAGCAGAGTAACACAGTTCATAACACTGCATACCCCAATGTCCATTAACAAGTTTACAAGGGTGAAAGCTAGAGCAAATAACACACTGCACAATATTCAGTGCAATTTCTCTTTTTCTCTCTCTCCTTTTGTTTACTGTGGTACTGGGAATTAAATGAGGGAGCATCTCACAAGTTTGGCAAGAGCTCTACAGTGAGATACGCGTCCCCCCTTTTCTGGTGCTTTTTTTTTTTTTTGAAGTCATGTCTTGCTATGCAGTCCAAGCCAGCTCACATGTTGACGCTGCACAAGCCTCCCTTATGTGCCACCTGCATGTGTGCCACTGCAGCCTGCTCTCTACTCTTTTCCTCTTTTACTTTGAGACAGGATCTTGCTAAATTGTCCAAACTGGCTGAAATTTGCAATCCTCCCTTCTGCATGCACCACCACTCCCAACCAGGACAATCTCTTATACTATCCTGAATATTAATGGCATAGCCAACTGAGAAACAATGATACAGATTATGGGAAAGGGGACAGAAGTCAATATAGTTAATATCAGTACATTATTTAATGTCTTGGATTACTAAAGACACAAGGCAACCTGAAGTTTAACAATTACTATGGTCAAGGCCAGCCAGATAGCTCAGTGAACTAAAGCGCCTGCTTAGGCAGAGTGCAGCAGCCAGTGCTCAATCCCCAGCATGTTGTGCCGGCCCCACCCCCAGGCATGATAAAATTGTAAGACTGGGCGTGGTGGCGCACACCTATAATCCCAGCGCTTGGGAGACTGAACACAGGAGAATCACTGAGTCTGATGTAGGTAGTGAGACCCTGTAGATCCTGTAGCAAATACATAAAATAAAAACACTTTCATGCCGTGCCAGACCCACCCTCAGAGTGGGCTGAGCAGGCAAAAAAAAAAAAAAAAAATCAATCCTCAGCAATTACTATGGTTCAAAAGTAGGTAAGGTATGGTATGGTGATGCAAGACGGCAACCCCAGCTATTTGGGAGACTGAGGCAAATGGATCACAAATTCAAGCCCAGCCTGGGAAACTCAAGGGACAGTCTCAAAATTAATTTATTAGTAAAATTAAATTTAGAAAGATTTTAATTACTGCAAGTCTTGCAACTTTTGTGTTATTATGATAAAATAAACAGGAATCCTTTTACCTAGAAGAAATATATACTGGTACACTCCAAAGTACCAACGTGCATTAGATATTCCAAGGAAATCAAGGATTCTTTACAAACACTGTACTGATGCCTCCACTATAACTGGTAGAAGGTTATTGATATTTCTGCTTAAGAGTGTACCTGAAGCAGAGAATATCATCACACTATGCTACTTTTCCCAATCAGGAGTATGGAGAGCATTATTCCATATTTGATATATCAACAAGGACTAAACAACAAAGTTGCCACAGTCATCATTCATGCAAAAGATAGTTTATTCAAATACGTGCCTATTAATGTTATGCGTTAAATGCTATAGTACATCAATGCTATGTATTTATCTATTAATGTTATAAATGTCTATATTAGTTATCCATAAAAAGGCTTTGGCTATTTCTTATTAAACGTTTTCTCAAAGGACAGACTTATGGGTATTAATACTATGCAGTAAGTTCTTGTTAATAAGAAATTAAGAGTATTTTTCTGAGCACAGTGGTACATAACTATAATCCCACCACTCTGGTTGTGTAGTCACACATCTACAACTCACTGACAAAGTATTTTACTAGTACACAGAAAAAGGTTACCATAGCAGGCTTGAAACTGCTACCTTTAGACCTATCTGCAAAGTTGTCACTTGGCTATCTTCCAAAAACTTGAATTTCCTACCAGCCCTTGATAAGAACAGCTCACTGTGTGTAAACTTTACACAAACAATGTGGCATATTTTGAACATTTTCTTTCCTTCTCTTCCCTCTGCCACACAGAGGCTGCTACACAACCACCTCCAAATAAAAACACTGAGCGCTAAGTTTCTCACAAGCTTCTCTAATAGAAAATATTACATATATGTTTTCAAAATTCGTTGCTACGAATTAAGCCACCTGGTGTAATTCCTCTGGGACAAGATATCTGAAACGTTGTGCCTATTTTCCCTTAACTTCGCCACTTGCCATTCTTCAGTGTTTATTTTGCTTGCCATTCTTCATTGTAACAAGTCAGTCATCAATACAACTACACGGTGAGTCCTATATGACTTCGTGGCAGTCACTGAAGCTAGGGATCATCTTGAGACTGTTCCACAAGTTATACGAGAAGCTGGAATCACAAGGCAGATGAAGGAACA